ACGCCTTCAACTCGATTCCTCTGGCTTGCTTCCCCAGAGGTTTTACGTCGCTGTGGCCAGGTAGAGGAGGTCGTTTCTGGGCTTCCAAAAAGCCAAGTACCTCTTCTCGGAGTACTACTTCTCGCCGGCGCCGAATGAGTGGTGGATCCATGGCCCCGATCCTGCTGAAGAGGTAGTAAGAGTTTTTTGGTTTGGTTTGTTTCGCTCTGAAATCTAAGTTTTTCCCTTCTTACTTTTTTTCTCCGGCAGCTCTCCCTCCCCCGACTGATCAAGTGCGTGACGCCCAACTTTGGCCTCGGCGGCGACGGCCGCTCCTGGAGACGCCCAGCAGCCTCATCTGCGTCATCTTTGCGAACGTTTTCGTCAAGGCGGTGGTCCTCCTCCTCCTCCTTCTCCTCCTTCTCCTCCTGTGGGCCTTCTACCTGATATTGGTTACGCCCGCCCTGGTGGCCGCCTGGCTCCTCCGGGACCTGCTGCCCTCGGCGGCGCCCACCTTTTGCCGCCAATATCTCCGCCGAAAGCTGCTGCTGAAGAAAGCGGTAAAGAGAGCTGGCGGTGGTGGCAATGGGGGGCGATGGTCGCCGAAGTCCTCTCCAACGTCCTCTCCACCTGGTCTCCCAGGAGGTGGCCCTCTACGTGCACTACGTAAGTGAAACTGCAGAAAAGAAGTGGTTTTTGATTTTGAATCAAATGTTCTAATGTTTTTGTTTTTTTGGTCTTTCTCTCTGCAGCTCCAGCAGCACCCAAACAAGCAGAGGCCATCAAAAGCTCTGCGGATTCGTAGAATCAGCAAACTCTCTCCGACAGCAACTTTCCGTCATGTGACGACGAAGGAGAACCTGGCGGACATTGCGTCGCGCGGTGCCACAATGGCCCAAGTTTGTCAAAGTCAAGCAGTGGCTCGTGGCTAGAGAACTACCATCTTTCACCCAGTTCGAGCACNACAACGCCAGCCAACGACCCGAACTAGTGTCGCTGTACCCGCTACGCGACTTACCAGCTAGCAGTGGGCACGTACCGATACGTCGCCAGGCTGCTGAAGCAGATGTCCACCAAGTACGACAACTTAGCAGAGCTCGACCTCGCCTTGATCTTGCTGATCTGCAAGGTGCAACGGAACCATTTCCAGCAACACATCGCTGATGTGGATGCAGCGGCAAACATAATATTCGACAAACAAAGTCTCTTAGGGAACTTTGGCGCCCACCTCAACCAGCGCGAACTGGTCCGACTGAAATTTTGCATTGAGCAGTCAGTGAACTTTTCCTACGAGGAGGTTCGCCCAATCATCTTGCACCCTCACTGCCACTTCTCTCGACTTGTGATAGCCAACACCCACCATCAACTGTTTCAACCCGGCGTCGAGTGAACATGCAGCTCCCTACGAGAACGTTTCTTTATCATCAATCAGGGCAGGATGAAGGTTATTCATTTTGTCAACAATTGCCAGATCTGTCGTCGGAAGAGACATGCAGTATCAACCATTCGCCACGGACCAGTACCAGCTTTTCAATTCGTGGCGCGGAACGGTCTGCCTCGGATGTTCTATTCCGACTATGGCAAACAGCTCTTCAAGGTGAAGAATGACCTGCCGAAGTACCTGGAGGAGATGAGCCTCAAGCGACCAGACCAGGAGTACCGCTTCCAGTGGCAACACCTGAGAGACCATTCTCCCTGGAAATGGAGATTCTACAAACGACTGAACAGGTCCATCAAGGAGGCGCTGGCCACTTTCTCACTTAATCGGACAGTCTCGACGCAGAGCATTGCAGGCCGAGTCAACGGCAAAAAGGCCAAACTAACACTCGACCAACTGAAGTACGTCTTTGCAGAAATCGAGTCGATGATCAACAATCGGCCCCTTTTCGAGCATGAGGGCAAAATCATCAGGCCCGTCGACTTCAAAGCCAAACAAGGCAGTCTTCAGATTCCCATCGCATGTAACCTTCCAGCCCGCTATCAGACACCGAACATCATTCGGGATTACAAGGCCTTCCAGACGAAAGTCAAGCACTACCGCAACCTGTGGAAGTCCAACTACATCTTGTATTAGCTACGAAACTTCCACCAGCACACAGAGAAGCAAAAAGTACCTCGCCGGTTCGAAATATCAGCGACTTCGCTCACGTCAGGTCCCCAAGCATCCGTCTCGACCAGTGGCCTCTGGGCATTGTGACACACGTGTTCACTAGCTCAAACGGCATCAGCCGCTCAGTCAAAATCCGCACGGTCTCAGTCGCGGCAACGTGGTGGAAGAACACTGCCGACTGTCGACCCCGACTTGAACTGTCAATGTTGGCAGTCGATGTTCACTCACTCACTCTCTCCTGCCCTCTGGTCGACCACTTGTCGGCAGCACCTTTGTGTCGCCAGCAAAAATGTGCTCGCCAGCTAGCCAGCACACCAGACTCCCCGGAAACTGTTGTTTCCTCCAGCCTGGCAACCATATTTGGAATGTGTGTGCGCGCGCTAGAGTGTTCTCTTCTTTTCAGAGAGCCCTTTTTCAAAAAGGGAAATGTGTGTGTGTGTGTGTGTGTGTGTGTGTGGCAGCACACTGCCGACTGTCGATGGATTGTCGAGGACTTTGATCTTTTGGCGGAGAGGAATGAGCGGCGACTGCTGACTTGCTTTAGCCAGCAAAGAGGTTTCCTCGTCGTCGTCGTCGTCGTCGTCGTCGCCTGAACTGAAGCTGCAAAAAGACAGTGTCTATCAGCAGGCAGAAAGCGAGAGAGAGACAGAGAGAGAGAGAGAGAGAGAGAGAGAGAGAGCGCGAGAGAGACGGTGGCACCAGCCACGATCGGCCACAAAGGGATCAATTAGCTGATTGCTACGGGCAATTACTGGCTGGCTGGCAGGCAGGCAGCGACACAGCCGCGCCAATGTCGTCGCCACTGTCACCGGTCCTCTCAA